GAGAGAGAGAGAGAGAGAGAGAGAGAGAGAGAATATGAGAATGTAGGGTACTTACGTCTAACCCATAAACTTTCCACTGACCTCAGAGAACTGCCTGGCTTGTCTACATTATTTGTCCATAGGCACCTTTTAATAAAAATGTCAACATCTTTTGTGTCCCGCTCAGATTATACATGGCAATCATATCACTGTTAAACCAGAAGTCTGTTTATTTAACCAATTTTCATTGATCTAGGCTTGAAAGGCCAACATTATCATTGATTATCCCTATTCATCACTACATCACACAAAACCCTTACCCTATCCTGCCCTTTGCCCAAAATTATCTTCCCTCTTGCTTTCCTGATCATCCTAAATGAAATAAATCCATCCACTTCAGTACTTCTGTAGCACTTTTTTACTCCCTAATAGCTTTATGCCACTTAGTTGTATATTAATAATGCATGACAATGAACTTGCTGCAAATGCTGGGGGAAAAAATCTGAATTCTGTGATGATAAAGTGTTGAAGGAGCTCACAGGAAAAGGCCATTGTCGGGTCTCACCCAAGAGAGAGGCAAACTGAAGATGAAAACAGAAGCCAATGTTATCCTCATGAGAAGCAGATGGGCACAGTAATGAAGATGGAAATAGAAGTGATAACTGTAGATGCTCAGGAGGAGACCCAGCTTTTAAAAGATTTATTTAGTGTATGTGTGTGTGTGTGTGTGTGTGTGTGTGTGTTGGTCCAGGAGCTTGAACTCAGGGCCAGAGTACTGTCACTGAGCTAGCACTCTACCACTTGAGCCACAGCTCCACTTCTAGTTTCTTTGATGCTTAATTGGATATAAAAGTCTCACAGACTTTTCTGCCCAGATTGGCTTTGAACCACAATCTTCAGATTTTACCCTCTTGAATAGCTAGGATTGCAGGTGTGATCTACTGGCACCCAAGTTAAAAGACAATTTTAGGAGGTAACTTATTTTGAGTGATGTTTAGCATAGTAGCACAGACATAACATTAAATTATTTTGCAGGTAACATTTCATGCTATGCTTGAACTCTGTAAAAGGTTTGTGAAATATAGTGGTTTTCAAATCAGAAAAATCACCTTAGAAAGTACCTTAGACAGACAACTGAGTTGTAGAGAAATAGCAGGGATTTCCTGACTTGGGAGACAAGTGTGTGGTTCATAAATGTTAAGCAAGTGCTCTAGCACTGAGCTATATACCTCTGGCTCATGAAACTCTAAGGGCAAGGTCCAGGCTGTACCCTCTTTTTTTTGAGTCACGCCATGTACTCCCTTTCCCAGAGTTCTCTGAGCAAACTTTTAGTGAATGAATGTAAAACTAATTTTCTTCTCCCTCAATATACCTTACAAGTAAAAATTTCATAATCAGGAAGCGTTTATGAAACGTTCCACTGATAAATATATAATTGGGAAATTTGAGTTAGACATCATGTTTAAAGTGTGGCTCTAAATACAACTTGAATTCAGCAATGAGTATTACTACTTACTAGTACAACTAGGACTACAGGCAATTAACAAGTACTAATTCCATCACTGTTTTCTTTTTAGGAAAGGCACCATCATGAAACTATGGGTGTGTCCTACTTGTTTGAGGGCTTAACATCTAATTCAAGTTGTGTACAAATTGTCAGTGATTGGGGGAGCCAGAGCATCAGCATTCACCAAAGTTCTTGAAGAGATCCATGACTAGAGAAGGAAAAGCAAGGTGGTAGCGCTTTCTTGAAGTTATGCTCCAGAGAAAGCTGCTCCCCCTTGTCTCTGCCTTCCAAACAGCCACCCACCTTTGCACTAGAACTGTTCTGAGTTCTTCACCCAGATTCTCAGTGCAGCCACAGCTGTTAGCAGTTCTCCTGGGGCCACATTTACCAGAAGAAAGAAGGAAAATTTAGCTGGGCACCAGTGGCTCACATTGGTAAAATCCTCGCTACTCAGTCTAGGCAGGAAAATTCATGAGACTTTTACCTCCAACGAACCAGCAAAACATTGCAAAGTGGAGTTGTGGCTCAAGAGGTAGAGCCCAAGAAAGCCTAAAAGCCAAGCAAGGATGTGAGGCCCCGAGTCCAAGCCCCAGGGCCAGCACATAAACAAATAATCTCCCAGCAACACCACCACAACAAATTATACCCTGAATTACACTGAAATAGGATAGATGCTCTAATTTTTTTAATTGTACGACCTACCCTTTCCATCAACCAATACTTTTTCCATTGAGTAATTCCAATTAGGTTTCTTCACCGATAGAGGAAATTAGCAGCTTCCCTGTGTGTGTTTTCATTGCTTTGTGTAGAAATCAGAGCAAGATGTGGGATGAGTTCATTCAAGTCTGGTGGTGACATCCAGAGCCTTGCCATTCACAATTATCATTATTTTTTGAGCTCCATGATTCAATTACATATACTGTCCAACTTAGCTAAAAGACAATGAGTGGGATCCAAATGTAATAAGTGGCCTTCAAAGTTGCAGTTGTGACCCATGAGTCACTCTTGAGGAGTCTCTGATGTGAGGCTGCAGAACTTACTCTTTCTCGGAGTCCCCAGGGTCTTGCTGTGCTATCCATACCCCTCCTGGGCTTGCTGGGGTTTGGCATCAGCTGGTTGGGGTTTTCCACTCCAATTTAAAAATTGATGGTGATTCTTCTGGCTTCTATAACTGGTGGGGACTTCCTGGACAGAATCAGCAGTTCCAGGAATCTACCAGTTTAGTTTGTGCCAAATTGATTGGCATGATGTGAAAAGATTGTACTCAGAGAAAATGCAGTCAAGAGGGGCTGATGTGAGGGCAAATCATGTTCTCCATGCAGAGCGGGAGACTGTAGCTCTTCCTCTGGAAGAGAGATAGCTGTGTAGAGGACAGGAGTCAATCTCTAGTGCATTGTTGTTGTTTTTATCATGTGTACCTTTATAAATGAAAACAGAACTTTCCAACTTTAGGATCTTAGGTAAACCCCAGTAGACTAGAGGAATACAATGGAAGAATACAGTGGATCCAACAATGCATCCAACAAAAATGGGGGTGGAGTTTACATGGCTCAAAAAGAAAGGCCCTGAATTTCAATTTCCAGGATCAGAGAGAGAGTGGGAGAGAGA